GTTTATTTGTATATGTTTATACGTATGTCATATATAAATATATATATATATAAATGTATTTAGTATATGTATATGTATATATATATATATATAATATGTGTATATATATATGTATATATACATCCATACATACATTCATATATATATATGTATATATATATTGTATATATACATATATATATATATATATTCTCCTGTGCATAATCCTAAAATTCCGCATCTCTACACAGATGGACCTCCTCAGCTCGTCACGCCTAAGGAAGACGGTTAATATTAACTCCTGCGGAATGATAGTATCCGCATACAGTCAATTGTTCAATGCCATTCAGGATCCTGCCAGTCAATACCCGGATCCCATGTCTATCTGCCCTCGAACGCCCGCCCAAGTAAAGACCTTGCTGGTTTAAACTTATGGCACTTCATATAGGTGAAAGGAAGTCCCATATTAAATAAAGATTTCTAAATTACCATTTGTTTTAGTCTCAAATTACTTGCTGAAAATTAGTATTCTAGACTTGAAACCAGTCACAAATGTATATGTCAAAGTGTTCAATCGTGTATATTGAAGTCAATGACCATATTTTGTAGACCATAATCCTGATATGTATTCTAACCTGGGCACTCATCACAACCCTACCTCCGAACTCTCGTTCGCTTGCTTTTAATTTTTATACAAGTGCACATCATCAACGGCTCCAAATTGCACTTCGTACAACCAAGACTGGAAACCGAAAATGTGGCGCATCCGTCCGATGGATGAACTGCCGGTATTATGCGCTACAATGGTCTTGCTCACACTGATATATCATTAGAACGATCCCACCCATACGTAGTGAGCTTCAATAACGACGATTGTCCGTCGGATTAGAAAGTTTTGATAGAATTAAGACACTGAGTGCCAGTCGACTAGGTTAAAATTATTTGTATCTTTTGGATGAAACATATAAATAATTATCACTCGAGGTGAGCAGAATATTCCGGGACAGAATGAATACTTTATTCGGTAATATAGCGACATCGCAATTGCTCCTGACACTAAAGTACAGCTTTGGGGTCGGGGGTACAGTTTTTTATATGTTGGATCCAGGCAATTTTTTCTATGTATACAGTTTGTTCTATCATTGCTGAAAGATTGTTAATAACCAACTTGTGCTAATTACAGGCTGTAGTAAATTCAAATTTCACACCAGACATACCCATCATCTAACCAGCCGTCACAGGCTTCTTTGCCTTGGGTAGGTCCATCACACTGATAGCCAATTCTCAGGCAGCCATAACATTGACTTTCAGCGCAGCTAAGGTATTTGGAATTACCACCTGGAGTCCATGTCGGTGTATCCGTTTCTGTTGGAGAAGAAACGGAGTCCGTAGTTGGTGTCGACTCTGTAGCTGAACTAAACACAGTGGTCGACTCGATCGCCGACGTGGGGGATACTGTAGTTGATGGCGCTATTATTTCGGATGAGGACACAGTGTGCGTGCTCGAGATAAACAATGTTGTAGCTGTGCTAGGCGGACTACTTGACACGCTCGTGGATGCTTCGTCACTCGGGGTGTAACTTTCTGTCTCCACTGGAATACCTTCGCTAGGGTAGCATGCGTCGTATCCATATTGTGCATTCATAGCGCAAGTGATGGGGGACCAGTCGGTGTAGCACGCACGCCAACCATTATTCCCTGGGTGCAGGCAGCCGACACAGTTTCCGCACTCAGCATTCATTGGTGGAGTGGCACCATCTGTGGTACTTGCTTCAGCTGTGGTGATTGTTGGAGGCATTGTGGGAGCTGCAGTGGGCTTAGGAGATGGGGCAACACCACCGTATTCACATTCTGGTCCTGTTGGGTTATAGCATTGCAATACTGAAGCGTATTCCTCATATTCACCAATAGCTTCGGGCGGACAATATTCATTGAAACCAGTCCCCATTAAATTTTGTGGTTGTCGTAGGGGAAGCGCATTCATGAGTGCTTCAGAAGGAAGCGTATTCGTGGTCGCATCTGGTCCTTGCACAGCATCGATTCGGATGTCCGCGCAATTCCAAAACTCCTCGGATATTTGCATGGGATTTTGGCTGTGATTCTCTGGAGGGCACGAGTTGGTGGTAAAATAGTGCCATCGCAGTACGCAATTGGTGCAATGAACATTGGCTGGTAGCTGAAATTGGGTCTTCAGCAAAACAGTGCCGGACGGAACTGTTTGTGCCATATATCCACCGTTAGCGGTGACTGGGTATAGCGATTTTTCTGACTCGAGCAAAGGTTTCCACCATTTGGTGCAATCATGCACATTGGGATCACAGTTCGGACGTGTGAGTTTATGTCGAAAGAAGCATTCCTCATTGATGTCGGAAGAATCACAGAGCTGCAAGTCAAAATATCCCAAGTGATGTGCAGTTACTATTACGGATACGTCTATTACACTACCCTGAGTGTATGTTACTTTAGGTGCGGTTGGCACATTCCAATTCTGAGGACTCTCGTGCCATTTGTTTCCGCAGAGGCCGTGGCGGTAGGATTCACCCATCAATACTGTACCTGGTCCACCTGCTGCCAAAGACTGTGGCTCGTAGTTGTTTGGCACATTTCTCGCCTCTGGCCAAGATAGATAAGCATGTCCAAGAACACTGCCATTGTTTACTACGCTAAGGGCTACCGCGAAGAGAGTGGTGGTTTTCATACTACCTTTTGTATCGATTTCGGACTCTCAATGTTGAATCTGATAGACAGATGCTCTTATGTGTCTTTTGTGGCTACTATTTATACATTCACGAAGAATGTTTAGATGGTGTGGTGAATGTCTATGCCGAAGTCACCGATGTACAACTTCAAGAGTAGTCACATGTGAAGCGCTTAAGAGCAGCTCACTCCATCGAAGGGATGAAAATGACGCTGTACTAGTAACATGCACATGTGCACAAATACCTGTGGTGAATGCGTGTGTAGAAATACCCAGTGTACACCTTCAACAGCAATACAAGTGGAGCACTTGAGAGCAACACACCCCATCGAAACCATCAAAAGGACTCTGCACTAGTACTCTGCACACCAGACACCCTCTGTACTAGTATCCTGCACATGTGGTCAGATGCTATAGGAACCGACAATCGGTCCGAGAAGTCCGGCTATCTACTGGAGTGACTAAAAGGTTATATTTTGCAGTGGAGTGTGCCGAGTTATGCCGAAGCTTTTTACTTGCCCAATGTCTGAATCAGTGATTCGAGCAATTAACAAATACTATTTTCTCCTTTGAAAAAAAAAGATCTGTTGATATAATTTTATTGTAATTAATTTTTATATATTTGCAACTTGCATACACCCTAGGAGTCTGGACTCTGGAATTCTGGAATCCCCCATCCCGGCAATCCGGCAATCCGTTGAAATTTGAAATTTCAAAGCCTCCCCCAGCGCCCAGTCCTATCGAAGGTCCAATCCCAGACTGTCTTCCAGAGAAAAGAACTACAGAGTCCTACATTCCTATACTCCAGACTCAGAGTCACTCTGTCTTTGACTCTTTCGACCCCTTTCCCAGCTCCCTAGTCCCTAGTCCCTACTACTACATACTCTCTATGCTACTATGTAGTTCCCAAGTTCCTAGGCTCCCGACTCACCCGAGTCCTGTGTAGAGTCCCAGAATGACCGGGACTCCTGTATACTTCTAGTATGAGTAATATGAAATATTCAAATATGAAATATGCTGGTATTGCTGGGCTGGTATAAGACAGCACTTTTCGCTATGTCGACATGTTAAGACCGTCGGAAACTATTTCTTTATGACGACATGCCCGGACGTCATGTCTTATTACAGTGAAAATGCGATATACGTCATGATCTCCTAAGAAAACATATCGCGACGGGTCGGAAACTAGTTTGCTAAGAAGACATGTCGTTGTCGTATACCAGGCCAGGAAATATGAAATACCTGATATTTATTATTGTTTCCGGTTCACGGATATATATATATATATATATATACATATTTTGTTTTATGTTTTTAAAAAAAAACAGAATCAAACCAAATTGTACTATGGCGACACGTCGCGACGGTCGTTTACATGTTTTTTTAGGCGACATGTCGCGCGCGATATTGGGGTCGCGACATGTCTTATGGCCGACTCAAGATTGAAGAAATTAGGCCCACTGAATCATCAATATCCGAAAATTTCGCCAATCATCACGGAACCTGTCATCGATCCCCAAAGGGTGAACATGAAAATTCTGAAAGTTTCCGACTATATGTATGACAGACTATATGTATGACAACATGTCCAGTATGTATATCGAAACGACATACGACGACATGTTTCAGACGACACTCGCGACGGTCGTTTACATATTTTTTAAGACGACATGTCGCGACCTCATACCAGCCCAAATAATTTAGAGGGCTATGATATGAACAAATCAATAAATACATTTTGTTATTTTTCCATATTTACATAGCCTGGGCCCTGCCCTGTGCGGCTGTGCCGGCCTGTGCCATTAATAGTATGTAATTAAAATTATTTTTAAAAAAGTACGTTCATGACCTGAAATCTGAATTCGACACTTTGTTTTGCAATTCGTTACTCATTATTTATTTTCACCCTCCCCCCCCCCGTCAAGGCCATAACCCACCTTCTGTTTCAAGTATACGATCCCTCCCAACAAAAACACTAAATAGATATGGTGCAGTCGCTTTTTTAAACGATGATGCAGGAAAAAAAAAAGGAACTTTATAATTTTCTATGTGAAAGAATTTCTTAATCCAAAATCGGCTTTCGTCACGGGATATAGCAGTGTGTGTAGAAGCCAAAACCGCCTGAAAAAACTTCGGCCATTTATTTTTATTTTTGGGACCGGCCAATATCGTGGCCTCAGCGGCCATTCTGGGCCTCAGTGGCCATTCTGGGCCTCAACGGCCAATTGGGGCTGTGGCTTAGTGTGTGGAATATATGATAAACACATAAATCGCACCTCGTACAGACATAGTCGACAGCTAACATATACATCTCCTAGTCAGTGCAACCCACGCAACGATGCCGGTCCCACCAAAGAGAGCGAAACATCTGACAGGCGGCAGGGGTGAAAGGTACTATCTACGCGGTTCAGATAGCAGATTTACAACAGTAACCAAGCACCAAGATTATACACCAGAGAGTGAATCTGAATCGAGCGACGACGATAGCGATGGTGACGCATGCAGAGAACATTGGGGCATATATGCAACATTTGATAAGAACCTTATCACACCTCTAGGATTCAGCACTCGCAGGCCGATTAAGGGACCGCAGAGAGAACAAGACGGTGGAAGAAAGCTAATACACGGAAGCTGAGGGAAGAAGTATTGGGGTAGAGCTAAGTTTAATGTTAAAGAGAACTACGATGGAACTTGGGGGCCGGTCTCCAAAAGAATGTGATCAGAGCTTTGAACGATGTTGAATTGGCAACAATTAGGCGATTTGTTAGGGTCTCCTACAGATATATGGACTTTTAGGACAAAGGGTTGACTTTACAGTTGGCAGAATTTGCCAAGAAGAAGTATACTTCTCGCGGTCGGGTACCCGAGAATGTGTACGATATAGTTACAGCTGAGATGTCTAGTCGAAGCTAATGTATTTATTAAGACTACAATAAATACACCTTTCAACAGGATGGGAAACCAATTTCGAAAATCTGATGATAGCATGAGTCTTAGAAATGGGCTGGCATGTCGATTTCTGCCCTTAAAAATCCAAAATTCGTACTGCAAGGTGGGTTCCACCACAAATGGCCAAATTTTCAAGATTCTGTCAAAACTAGATTTTGAACAAAGCACAAACCCGAAAATGTGTACGGGTGATTTTCTCAATCGGGTCTGTGTGAGCATTTTCCGTTATCAGACGTCCGAATCGGGTCACTATTAGTGTGTGCTGTGTCTGACTGAAATAGGGGTGGTTTCCTGTATCATTTTAAAGCGATTGCACCATACATACGAGTTATGTACGAGTTACGAGTTTTAAACGAGCTACGACTGTTGTAAATAATTCATTATAAATATATTGTCGGACAACTGTTTTTGTTTTTGTTTATCTATTTTTTTGTTTTCGTGGCAAAAAGCACAAACTTAATACAATATGTTTTTTACAACGAGTATTAAATTAAAAGAATACAGAAGTCATAGACGCATTGAAATCCCAAAGCATAGCCTATTAAATAAAACAAGTATAATAAAATATGTAAGTAATTTCCTTTACTACTTTTGTAAGAATATTGCTATCCATCTTTTACTATAGTAATATGTATACTTTAGGACTAGTATATTCAAATCCCACACCACAAATAACCATCATCTAACCAGCCGTCACAGGCTTCCTTGCCTTGGGTTGGTCCATCACACTGATAGCCAATTCTTAAGCAGCCACAACATTGACTTTCAGCACAACTAAGGTATTTGGAATTACCGCCAGCAGACCATTTCGGTGTATCGGTTTCTGTTGGAGAAGAAACGATATCCGTAGTCGGTGTCGACTCTGTAGCTAAAATAGACATATAGGTGGACTCGATCGTTGGCGTGGCGGATACTGTAGTTGATGAAGCTATTATTTCGGATGAGGACACAGTATACGTGCTCGAGATAGACGATGTAGTAGCTGTGCTGGGCGAACTACTTGGCATGCCCGTTGATGTATCGTCACTTGTGGTGTATCTTTCTGTCTCCACTGGAATACCTTCGCTAGGGTAGCATGCGTCGTATCCATATTGTGCATTCATAGCGCAAGTGATGGGGGACCAGTCGGTGTAGCACGCACGCCAACCATTATTCCCTGGGTGCAGGCAGCCGACACAGTTTCCGCACTCAGCATTCATTGGTGGAGTGGCACCATCTGTGGTACTTGCTTCAGCTGTGGTGATTGTTGGAGGCATTGTGGGAGCTGCAGTGGGCTTAGGAGATGGGGCAACACCACCGTATTCACATTCTGGTCCTGTTGGGTTATAGCATTGCAATACTGAGGCGAATTCCCCATATTCACCAATAGCTTCGGGTGGACAATATTCGTTGAAACCAGTCCCCATTAAATTTTGTGGTTGTCGAAGAGGAAGCGCATTCATGAGTGCTTCAGAAGGAAGCGTATTCGTGGTCGCATCTGGTCCTTGCACATCATCGATTCGGATGTCCGCGCAATTCCAAAACTCCTCGGATATTTGCATGGGATTTTGGCTGTGATTCTCTGGAGGGCACGAGTTGGTGGCAAAATAGTGCCATCGCAGTACGCAATTGGTGCAATGAACATTGGCTGGTAGCTGGAACTGGGTCTTCAGCAAAACAGTGCCAGACGGAACTGTTTGTGCCATATACCCACCGTTAGCGGTGACTGGGTACAGCGATTTTTCGACTCGAGCAAAGGTTTCCACCATTTGGTGCAATCATGCACGTTGGGATCACAGTTCGGACGTGTGAGTTTATGTTGAAAGAAGCACTCCTCAATCACAGAGCTGCAAATCAAAATATATATCCCAAGTGATGTGCAGTTACTATTACGGATACGTCTATTACACTACCCTGAGTGTATGTCGCTTTAGGTGCGGTTGGCACATTCCAATTCTGAGGACTCTCTGGCCATTTGTTTCCGCAGAGGCCGTGGCGGTAGGATTCACCCATCAATACTGTACCTGGTTCAACTGCTGCCAAAGACTGTGGCTCGTAGTTGTTTGTCACTTTTCTCGCCTCTGGCCAAGGTAGATAAGCATGTCCGAGGACACTACCATTGTGAATTAAGCCGAGGGCTACCGCGAAGAGAGTGGTGGTTTTCATATTACCTGTTACAATGTCTAAATGTGAGGACTGATCCTCGAATATTTATTTCAGGCTATTTTTTATACACAGAATCATCCCATGCCCACCCTCTATGATAGAATTTCCTTTTTGGTTAATGGATTCGGGAATCTCAATAGCAGTAGAAAAGTGTAGTTACTCTCACAATGCCACAGATACCCTAACACTCACAATCAGCCGGTAGTCGGTCTCAAACGCATTCTGATATAGTTTCATAAGTATGTTGTGTAACGTGCCAGAGCAATTGGTCGTCTGATCAATATGTATATATGACTCCAGTTAAATTCTACTGCCATACTACTACAGGGTAGGGTAGCAGCCGAATAGAACCGGGATTCCCGGATTCCGCACTTCGACCCTGTACTCCCATAGCCCCCTGAATTCAACAGCGAGTCAACGACCCTCAACTCTCGAGCTAAGCTCAATGCGTTAAAAGTTGTAACTTTTATTATGCCTCGAATAAACACTAAAGTTGTAACTTTTATATCTCGATAGTACACTTCCATATATGATAGGTGCATTTTCCAGGTCACTCAGGTGACAGTCGTCACAACTGAAACGAACCCTCTTTTGATTGCCTATTATCAATTTCGTGGCCTAAAATTTTCAACGTTCGGACAGCTTTTATTGAGTGCAGTTTTCCAAAATAACTTCATAGTTGATTTGTCCTAAATAAAAGTTATAACTTTAAATAAAAATCAAAAAGTTAACATTAATGTTGGAACTTGTATTCCGTACCCCTATAACTTATTAAGCTTAGCTCTCAAGTCATCAACAGCGACCCTCTCAACAAAAATTCTATATTGGGTATATGTATTTTATTGTTTTTTATTAAATAAAACGAAATATTCAAAAATAACAAAAATTCTGGGGTTTTTTTAACAAAAATACATAAACGTTCAAAATAATTTTATTCTCAGAGGTGTCTCAGAGACTCAGACTCTCACATGTCTCATGTCCGTCACAGCCATGCCCTCGCTGTGACGCGGTGAGGAGAAACCCCCTATGAAAAATAGAAAAAGCAACGACAAAAACTGGTTGGCTGTCGGCTTGTCATCTATTTTAAAATAAAAAAATATAGCTTAGTGTGAAAAAACTGTTTAGAGTTCACCCAGGTCCCAGGGTAATACCGGGTCACCAACCACCAGAGCCCAGACCATTCACCAGTCGCCAGGCACGCCAGGCACGCCAGCTCGCTATCAGGCCCAGACTCCAGACTCCAGAGCCCCAGCGACAACAACCATAGTGATAGGGGAGCCCTCTTGTCTCCTGATCTCCTCACTGTCAAATGACAATCCTCTGGCACCTAACCTCTTCACGTATTAAGTTGCAACGTTTTCAAATGAAAAAGTAAAAGTAAAAAGTTGACAACTTTTTCTCATACATTCGTAGTCCTAAAGCTAACCATAAGAGCATTGTCCAGATCAGAGTTTTGTCCTAACCACATTACCTAACTAATTCCCGCCCAACCATCGGTTCTGGAGACTTGAGCGTTGGTTGAGCGTTGCCAAGTATATTAGCCCGCTACACTGTCCCTTGATATTGACGTTGTTCATATTCTAGAAGTTAAGGTATATATAATTGATAGAGATACCTAGGATTTACAGCCTACAGGCAACAGGCTACACAGTCTACCAACGCGATTAGTTTGACTTTAATGCGTGTTATTAGTGACTTAGTGCCTAGTGACTAGTGTGACAACTATTGTCAGAAAAAAATATGCCAGGGTTATCACTTTCTAGTTGTTTTTCATGATTCATAGGTGCACAATCGTGGGCAGCAAATCGAAAAAATTGAGGTCCAAATTGAAACAGTAAACCGTTGCAACGTTTTCAGACGAAAAAGTAAAAGTAAAACGTTCAACTTATATATCAATATCACATTACTTTATCAGGTTAGTCTGGCACTCGCTGGCAGGCTGCTGTCTATTTTTTTAAAAAGAAAGAAAAAAAAGAACGGTGTTGATTTGTGTAAAAATAACCATAGCCTTCTAAATTAAAAAACAAAGGCTATGAAAAAACAATAATATTTAAGGCCTGTTCTGCATCTCAATATGAAAATGGCAATTTTTGAAAAAAGTCCATATTAGATCGATTTTATATTTTCAGATTTTCATGATAAATAAAATGGGTACAACATAATTCTCAAAAATATTTGAGTTCCTTATATACTTTTGAAAAACGGCCATTATTTCCAACCGTCGTTATTTACGCCTACGGCACGCAAACATCAATAACGCCAAAAATAGAAAAAACGAAACCGCGCCATTTCTCAAAACGCGCCGTGTATCGTTTCATTCGTGCTGCTAACTGTTGAGATTTTTCGTTTCATTATCATTAGAATATATAAAGTATAGTCGTATTCTGCAAGTGCCACACCATTTATCAGCCACAATGAGTGCAAACCCATCTCACGCGCCTAGATCCATGGAATCTCTTGTGGAGGAAGATGAGGTCACTGGGACTGAATCGGCTGAAGATTCGGCCGACGTGGCTGATCAAAATAGCCATATATCTACATTTGACATTGTCATTGTGCACATTATTTCCATGCATGTTACTTTTTGTATTTTGAAAGAGTATTTTGTACAGTTTCAAAAGAAATTTTTCGTGAATTCAAAGAAATGGCCATTCTTTTTTACAAAAACAGCTTTTGAAACTTTTGTAAAAACGCGATTATAGATGTTCAAAAAAGGTGATTTTGGATGGCAATTGCCCAGGTGTGACTGTGTGTATGAAGAGTCCGAGAGCTGGAGCTCGGGACTTAAAGGGCTATATAGCAAGGCGCATGTATCTCGTAGCCCATTCTCGTAGCCCTCAGGGCTCAGAGAATAGAGCAGTACCAGTTGTTCTCAATTACCGGGTCACCATGAAAGTGAAACTGAACCTGAGTATCGCGACAGTAAAAGTAAAACTGAATATTCATATGTACTTTAAATGTATAAATAGTTCGTTGTTTATGACTGAATTGAACACTCTCACAACAGTCATAATTAATGTTGAACAAGATGTTGAAACTCATTGTTATTGCTCTTATCCAAACTACTTTGTGCCCAGAGAGAATTGCAGGCCAAAGTTCAAGCGGTGGCACGGTTGATAGCTGCGAAGCCGATTGTGGTAGCTGCCAAGGGTGCCTATGGGTGGCTCCGAACGCATGCTATTCTGATTGGGATATGGCAACGTGTAATCGGTACATATCATCAGGATATAAGTTCTGTGACTCAACGGTTGATAATGCATGTGATAATATCGATTGTGGTCTGCATGGAAGTTGCAGCACCGGTTCATGCACTTGCTCTGCATGGAAGTTGCAGCACCGGTTCATGCACTTGCAAGGATGGCTACACCGGTACTCAGTGCGATCTGGCCCCCGATTTGTGCGCTAGTACTGACTGCGGTGCTCATGGAGTATGCAATCTGGGTGTATGCACATGTTCTAATAACTACAGTGGATTAAACTGCGACAGTGCTCCCGATCTCTGTGCCAGTTTAGATTGTAGTGCACATGGCATTTGCAATGTTGGATCGTGCTCTTGCACCGATGGGTACATGGGTACTCAATGCAGTGTGGCACCTGATCTGTGTGCCAATGTCTTCTGCGGGGCATACGGAGACTGTGATGCTGGTGTCTGCAAGTGCACTGTTAACTATAGTGGTATAAATTGTGATATTGCGCCCGATCTATGTGCGAACGTAGATTGTGGAACACATGGCATATGTAATACCGGTCTATGCATATGCAATGATGATTACACCGGGCCTCTGTGTGATGTGGTCCCTGACCTGTGCGCTAACATTGCCTGTGGTGAGCATGGAACATGCGATGCTGGTGTATGCAAATGCACAGATAACTATGGTGGTGCCAGTTGTGATGTTGCACCGAATCTTTGTATTGATGTCGATTGTGGTCAGAATGGTAGTTGTGATGCTGGTGCGTGCGAATGCACAGCCGGATACACTGGCACGCAATGCGAAATAGATAGCGATGGCAGCGACAATGGAAGTACTGACAGCGCATGTGGGACGTGCAGAGGATGTCTGTGGGTAGCACATAATGCGTGCTATGTATCGACGGAGGCCGCATGCAACGTTTACAAAGATGAGGGCTACACATACTGTGGGGAGACCGATGGTAGTGTTGACGATGATGATCAAGGCGGCGATGGTGGTGATCAAGGCGGCACCCCTGACGCGTGTGCCACGGTGGAGTGTGGAGTGAACGGCTCTTGCGATGCTGGCGTCTGCGTCTGTGCACAAGGATACTCAGGTACTTTCTGTAGCGAAAATCAAGGTGGCACCCCTGACATATGTGCCACGGTGGACTGTGGAGCAAACGGCTCTTGCGATGCTGGCGTCTGCGTCTGCGCACAGGGATACTCAGGTACTTTTTGTAGCGTCGCCGATGATGACAACAATGTACCAGGGTCTCTCAGGAACTTGTTGACACAGACACAATTTGATGAGATGTTCAATCTGAGACAAGCGTCAGGTTCCTGTCAGGACGGGATTGACAAGCTAACATACGAAAATCTATTGGCAGCCGTAGATCAATATTACCCAGCCTTCGCCAATGAAGGTAGCGACGAAGCAAAACTGAGAGAAATCGCTGCGTTTCTGGGCCAAATTTCTCAGGAGATCACCGGCTGGTGGGCAGGTCAGCAATATGGCTGGGGCTTGTGTTTCATTTCGGAAGTGGGCTGCGAGAATGGCTGCTCACAATACTCAGACTTCTCTAACACGCAATACCCACCCACTGCTGGAAGATCGTACCACGGTCGAGGTGCAATTCAGATCACATGGAACTACAACTACGGTGCTCTGAGCGAAGTGTTGTTCAATGGTGACAAGAACGTGTTACTGGACAACCCTGACTTACTCATAAAGGATGGTGTCTTGGCTTTCCGTGCGTCATTGTGGTTCTGGATGACCGCGCAATATCCCAAACAATCATCGCACGCCGTTATGATTGACGCTGCCGTGGAGTGTTCTAGTGCAGGTAGATACAACGGCTTTGGACGGACTACGAACATCATCAACGGGGGCCTAGAATGTCAGATGCCCACGCCTCAGAAGGTGCAAAACCGAGTCAACTACTACTTGAGGTACGCTAGCATACTTCAGGTTGATACGGGGCAACACTTGTACTGTGATCAAATGATTAACTATAACAATATGGGCTATTGCTCCAATTAGGTCATTAGTTAATTCAACTAGTGCACACGAAATAAATATCTATCGGTTCTGAAGCGAATGTCTTCTATATATGGTTCCCATTACACGTTTTAATCCCAAGGTATGTTATTAAAGTTTTACCTGACCTATGTATGGTTCCCATTACACGCTTTAATCCCAAGGTATATTATCAAAGTTTTACCTGACCTATGTACGGTTCCTATTGCACGCTTTAATCCGCAGCAACTGATGGGTGTCCCCCCTGCAGTACGTTTGGAGCATTTGCTATGTATGCTGACGATATCTGCGCACTTAATTGCATTTCAAAAGTCTTGCTTCCACAGAACTTTTACGCACTATTCAATCTGGTTGGTATTGGTGTGTTCTCTCCGATTGTGTACGAGCATAAAATACCGGTATGTGTATAGTATAATGGTGTGTGGACACAGCCGAGCATGTTTGTGTATACATATATTATCGCGTATTCTTGTTTGTGAACGGATATCGAAAAGGAGCCGGTCCGTCATGCGAATATAACTCTATCACTTTTAATACGTCGAAAGGTCTATATTTAAAAAAAGTAAATTCAATCCTACCACAACACACGAAGGATGGTATCTAAAACTTCAATATATTGGTGGGCGACACTTCCAGAGACGGAATGGAGTCGCCGCAGGCAATGTGCAAGTGTGTCTGATAGTGACACATGATGGTGAGCAGACACCATCACCGAATCGGAGATCATTTCTGCTCCGCGATCTCGTGTATATGTTCGTCCGGCTGAATGTTCGCTCACCGCGGTATGGATACCGGCAGTTCAACACGGGATTCTATACGAGAGCCCACAATTCGGTCCACAATATAATCTTAAATATGGGACCGGTGTGTTTGTAAACACGGCAGTCTTGTATGAGAGTTAGCGGATTGCCATTACAGGTAAAATTCCCGGTGAGTTGGGGTGTGTGATACAATGCGCGTGCATAGAGCCACGGTCATCGGTATAACCGACATACAGCCGAGGACCCCAGCCAACACGGGTAGGGCATACACACTGCCACGAACCACGTCTACCCTCTTAAGCCTTATTATCATATCATGCTCACTTGTGTCGGCTCTAGGCTCAAGCACGTTGCTGAATGCGAGGGCTCTAGGCTCCGGATTATTCTGCGATAGCAGTTCCGGGTGTGTGCAGAGGGGTTTAGTGTTTTACCGGCATGTACGGCATATCGTATAGCCAGATAGCATATTAATAAAGGAGAAGCGTTTCACTCTGCTCCGGGTAAAAGAACCGTTTTTTGTTTGGTCTGTAGGTCCTCCAGTTGGTTCTGTGAGAAATGGCACGGGAATGATTTTTAAGCGCTAAGAATTGCCTTCTTATGTCCGTGAACGTCGGCACATAGATTGGTATTTGTTTGTGCATGGGAAAGTGTAGGTTTTTATATTTGTGCTAATTACAGTAATTAAAATATTTTGAATCGCATAGATCTGCAGAAAAAACAACCATTTGTATAAAATATACATACATATAAATTGTTTGTATAACACACAAATATAAATTCACTTGCATAGCAAATTTTAGGTACATGCATACCCATTGTAAGCATGCATGTGGTGACTACCAGATATACACGCACATATGCATATCAATATATAGAATACATGCCTTAGTACGTAAATTTAAAAAAAAAAATAGACGTGTGTGCGATTGGCTGTGATTAAGACGTATAATCACTACACGCTTGTACAAAGGGGTGCTGTAAAAATAAGTGGAAACGTAAGTGGGAAGGGAAGGACGAAAACATATATAACCATAAATGATGTATGTTGTACGTATTTAATAGAGCACTGACAAGTACTGGTCAACCGAGACGCATCTCGCAATCCAGGTGTGATAGCCTATATACAATGAAACCTATATACAACGTAACCTATATACTATGAAACCTATATACAATGAAACCTATATACAATGATTTGCAAACTGGCACAACGAGACGCAAGTAATGTGACCGAGATACGTACCATCCACATTGTGAGCTTCTCTCCGTTTGTGGCGATTAATCGATCCTTGATCTCAATCTCGTCCTTCAACGAGTCGATTTCCTGCTCGGAGTGCAGTGACGCGAAAACTGATGGAGTCAGACTGATAGATGGAGTTAGACTGCTAGCACATAGGTGTGTGTGTGTTTGACCTATATAGAGGTATACTTATTGCCAATTTTTACTCTTTTTCTGATTTTTATTGATACTTCGGTACAAGCCTACATGATCGGTTACTGCAACTGCGAATTGATTTACTTATTTACTCATGGCTGTGTGTCACATGTTCATAGCTATCACCTCATTCACTTATCTAATTTGCCGAATTCTGAGGATGGAAACACTATAGCTCAGCCTTTGTTTACGAATATGCAGGAACCTATCACGATAACCCCCACTAATGCGTTCTTGGTTGTGTTGAATCAGATGGGTTGAATATCCTGAGAGTCAGTACCAGAATGACAGCTTTCTATCGACCCAAACAACATTTATGACCTTTTAGTAATATCAGCACCCACGCGCATAATCGAATACATTGAAATAGAAATCCTCGTTTGTTTGATACTAGCGAGTCACCAACGTACAATCAGTGAATGAATTTATGACGACCGACCAGCCATATCGGGCCCGTACATTTTGTCGTAAGGTACACGTCCATGACTAGGTACATGTGCATGCGTACATTACTTTTGTATAAACATAGGTACATGTGTGCATATATGCATTATCCCTGATATCAGTATAAATATATATATGTGTGTGTGTAAGCACATATGTGCACACATATTCTATCCATAATAAATATATATACATCCATAGGTGTATTAGTGCATTAAGACAGTATCCATGATCACACCGCATGCTTAGGAAATAGCTATACCTCTTGCAGAGAAAGAACAGGATGTCGACTGCAACTCAGCCCAAGTGCGATCAGATCGTATTCCAGACTCTTCGCCTGTCGCACAAAGTCTTGCACTTTCGCCTCGAGATCTGTGGTATCGATTGGACCGGCACAGTGTCAAACAATGGTACTCCACTGATTGTCACAATGGGATTTAAATACGGTTTGGGTGACCTGGCCGAGCGGGTCCTGACTCAATCGTAGAGGATGCACAGATATACAATGCACTTGCTTGACAGGCATACAATGCCACAGCCATTGAATAAAGTGAACTTGATACAATACAGAGAATAGTGTATACCTTATAATGTTACTTGTCAGTAGTCATGGAA